GGAACGACCAACAGGCAGATGGACTTTGCATGCTGGATGTTTCTGCTGACCTTGGAAACCAAAATGAAAAATTAACCAGTGGCCTAAGCTTTTTGGATATTGCATAACTCTTCTTTGCTCTTGGTTCACTCCTGGGCTTTGTAGTAGCTGCTCACTGGATTAGTGTGCAGCTCACGAGGCCTGGAGGTGCACAGAGGGTGCTGAATGGTCTTTTAGAGCTGGGCCCTCTGTAGATGCCTTATCCACCCAGAAGCAACGGATTGAATTGCAAACCACGATGTGATCAGCAATAAAGTCAACAGCCAAGCAATAAAAGTGAAGAACTTATGCAAACAAAGATCCCAGCGGAGGTTTTTGTCCATCGGCAGCATAAATAAACTCTAACTATGCTTCTGAACTGCGGTCAGCCATTGCCTCTCCTGAGGCATACGGACGTGCCGCCTCGAGTCATAGAAAACTTTATCCTGACGGGCTACCGCTTCCCAAACTACAGCCTGTGGGACTGCTTACTGTCAGCGTTCAGGCCTACCAATGAAACGGGCAATTTCTGGACGCACTTTCTTCCTGTTTTCATCTTTTTCTACTACTTTGTGGAGGTTTTTGGGTGGGAAGGTGCGCCTGATAGCGGTGAGCCTTTCTTCTATCCGCTGTGGAATTACTTTATTGGGGTGTCCTGTTTACTGATGGCCAGCAGCATGGCTCACCTGCTAAACTCAATGTCTCTTGTGGTACGAGAGGTTTGCTTCTTCGTGGATTACGGCACCATCAGTGCGTACACGGTCGGCTCATCGTTGGCATACTACTACTACATCCACCCTCAGGCAGGAATAGCAGAGACAGGGAGCAGCTCCCGGGTGGAGTTGAACCGTGAGGCTGCACCCTCAGCCTATGCAATCCCAGAGTGCAGCGTGTTCTTTGAGACCTACTACATCCCGTGTGCATGTGTTGTAGCGATCATCTGTGTTTTATCCTGCTGCAATACTCGGCAGAGGTGGAGGCAGCATCGCTATATCATCCGGACGCTGGTTTTTCTCCTTCCGTTTCTCATCTCCTCCACACCAATCTTCTACCGCCTCCTCACCCGATCGCCTTACTCCACCTCCTCCTCCTCCTTCACCGCTTCCACCCCCATGGCCCGCTTCTTCTATCGCCACTGCCTCTGGTTGCTGGTGTCAGCCATCTTCAACATTAGCAAGTTCCCCGAACGCCTTGCACCAGGACGCTTTGACATCTGGGGGCACAGCCACCAGTGGTTCCACTGTTGCACGTTTTTGTCCATCCTGGATGAACTTCACATGATCAAGGCTGAGATTAAGGCCATCTTGCTGAGCCCAGCGTTGCTGCTGCCCCCCACCTCCCTCTCCCACCTCCCTGGACCCACCGCCGCGTCCACCTACGGAGTGATGCTCCTCCTCCAGACCACCATTGTCTCCATCATCGTATGGTTCTCCTGGCGGGCCAACTGTATCTATGGATCCCAGAGAGAACAGCTGGAAAAGGAGCACCCCAAGAAGCACCTGAAATGTCACTGATCACGGAGAAGTCACCGCCATCATTAGACCCGCCGTATGTTCCCGCCCCCTTTGGATTATAAGGATTATATGTTGAGCTCACATGTGTGGTTGAGTGCATATCTTTGCCAGTTCTTTCCCCAGAGCTGCTCCAGCACCTCCTAACAGGACGTCTGAGCGCTGGGACAACAACTACCTCTCAGGGCTCTGCAATTATGGTTGCTGCCCAGGAGAACTAATGTTCCACTTTACGACTGGTTAACATGTTAGACGTTAGTGGGACCATTAAGAACATTTGCTGATGAGCCGTCTGCTGTTAGGTCCTTTTTGTTCTTCCACCTCCGTTTGTTATTTCGAGCTAAAACGGTGTGTTGCTGCGGCCTGTGCCGAGCCCATTGTTTCATGTCCAATGATTCCTTTGATAACATACCTTTTCTTCCTCTTACTTGCACAAACATTCGCACACGAATCTCATTTCCTGTCTGTTTTGCAAGTGACCCTTGCAGCAGGAAGTGTGCGTTGCACGCGACGACAGAAATAGCTGAGAGCTCTTCTCAGT